GACTTATGGTTCATGAGATAACATCTTTCCCGATTGGGCAAGTCTCCCGATCGGGAAAGTGCAAACGGACTGCCTGTAACTCAAGAACCACGATAGCTAGGGGCTTCTAATTTTGTGTGGTAATAGAGCGAGGATGAGGAACTAAGGGTCGCTCTTTCTACTATAGAATCTGTATTCAATGTATATTATAATTATAAAAAAATAATCATAGAAACCTATAATGTATTGAATTACTCCATTCCACACCATGGTAAGATTATCCGGAGAAAGATTCTGTTTCAAAAGCATGAAATATGATGTCTTCTCACCGAGATGGTTATGGTTAATTGCAGATAATAACTACTGTCTGAATGAGTTATATTAAGAACAATTGAGAAAATATTAACAGTAAGTTTCTTTTAGACCACAAGTACAACACTTAGATTCATTTTTTACTAATTCTTACAACCAGATTAGTAGCCGGCTCTCTTCATGGTGTCAGTCGTAAAGAATTGAGAATGTCTGCTTAAAAATACTCATAAGTAAGACAATGAAGAAAGAAAAATGAAGGAATGTTATAGAAGTAGTACACGATGAAGGTAATTTGTCAGATAACACAAAAGTTTTAGTGGTAAAAGCACTAAGTGTATTATGACTACTGAAATGACACATCAACTTGAATTGAATCATCTCACTAAAAACACATCACATTTTTTCTTTTTTTCTCTACATTCAGAACGAATGACTCTTTTCTTTCGTTCTTTTCTTTACTCACTCCAAAATATTGGACGAAATTTATTCAGTTAAAGGATTGCACATTGACTAACACATTTTCTTTTTTAAATGAGACTGCGAAAAAAGATTAGTTTATACTTCAACATATCGTTGATAGAACTTTCTCTTAGATACTTATTTATTTTTTCTAGTGGTTGAAAATGTTCTTCATGTGAAATTATTGGGTTGAATTATATCTCTCTCAAAGTAAATCTATTTTTTAATTATTCACTTATGGTTAAGTATCCTCGTATCATCAGAAAGCAGTGACAGTTCAAAACTGGATCAAAAAATTTTTTTCTTCTCATTTCTATCAATTGTTGTTGAGAGCGTTAAATATAAGTTCAAGATTAGGTTAACTTTATTATAAGAAATTTGACATTTGTCGTAGCCAAACTAAGAAGCCAGTCATATTTTAAATCTGCCTAGACAAAATTAGGGGAGATCGGCTACACAAATTTGCAATTGTAATTTTGCCCGACGAATCTCTAGGCAAAATCGGAATTCTACTTTTGCCTGGATAAACAATAGGTAGAATTTGAATACAACTTTTGCATGCGACCCATTTTGGGTATCCAAAAATGGGTCACATGCATAAATATTTTATTCAAATTCTAATTCTTCGTAATTATTTATCCAGGCAAAGGTAGAATTCCGATTTTGCCTAGAGATTCGTTGGGTAAATTTGATCACTGTCAAGACAAAATTACAATTACAAATTTGTCTAGCAAATAGAGCCCTGCGGGATCGAGATCGGAACCGGGATCAAGCTTACGGGACGGGATCGGGGTCAAGCTTACGAACGGGTTCGAGATCGGGATTTAAGCTGCTGAACGGGATCGAGATTTTCTTTTTCCAATTTATTGGGAGAGGCATATGCTGTATAAATGGTTCTATTATATCTTTTCTATCATATTTTTTTCTACTAGTGTAACGTAAAAAAGAGAAAACATGGACTGCCATACACTCTTCTATTGGTTAGAGAGGCCATATTGACCTTTTTACGTATCTTACTTTTGGTGGCCAGCTAGCTTTCAACGAATGCTGAAGTTATCTGCTATTGGTAGCTGTTATTAGCAGATAACTTCTTTCATCGATAAAGTAAACAATTAAATACACACAAGAAACTGTCGTCCTCATACGACAGTTAATCAGGTTTTTTCTTTCACCTTGTCGCACACGAGCGACGGCTGTTTGTATTTTAGCGAAAAAAAATTTCGGGATTTAACGGGATTGTAATTACGCCTACGGAATGGGATCGGGATTGGGATTAAGCCTACGGAACGGGATAGGGATTGGCGAAAAGAATTTTTCGAGATCGGGATCGGGTTTCAATCCTATGGGACGGGATCGGGACGAAAAAACTCAATCCCGCAGGGCTCTACTAGCAAATCTTCCCAAGTTTTGTCTAGGCAGATTTAAAATCTTACTGGATTCTAAGTTTGTCTACAATATATTTTTGTTTGTATAGCAGGTAACCAATTCGTTTAATCAAAATGTTACTCTTACGTTCGCCATCATTAGTTAGTACCAACATTTATACGTTTATATCATTAATATTTATTATTGGTATTCCATTAGCAACGGTAGATACTTGCAGTAAAACACCATCATGTCAATTATTTTTATATATATTACCCATGTTAACAATTCTTAATTGTCTTTCTTTGTACATATCATCAAATACCTGGTTAGAAGCAACATCCTATGTACCATTCGTATTTTTAATATTATCGTTTTGTTCATTATTAATATGTATAATTTTATCATCTTCAATATTAACTCTGTACAAAAATAGACTTATGCTATGTTATTTAGTCTATAATTGTATCTCTATAATAGTAGTCATTGCCATTATAGTTTTAGTCAGTATTACCTATCTCTTAGGTACAATTTTTTGTCAAAAACGTAAAAATCAAATGACATTAGATCAACAACAAGAAATTTGTTATACAAATGAGATAATTGATGTTAATCAACTTGTAGTACGATATAATGATACTGATGATGCTTTTATTTGCATGTGTAAATTACCTGGCAGAAAAACGCGTCGTGATGTAAGAAATTTATCGACAGATTTAACTTATATTCAAAATACTTACAATATTGATATTATTGTAACATTAAATGAAGAAAAAGATTTATCATTTATGAATACAAACTATGAACAATTTGATTTTAATATTTATGTAAATTCTATTAAAAGTAGAAATATTCAACATATTTATCATTCTATTCGAGATAAATTTATAGCAAAATCCATGCGTAATTACATTAATTTTATTTTTAAAATAGTAAAATATATTCATGATGGTAAAAGAATTTTAGTTCATTGTATGGGTGGAGCTGGACGAACTGGAACAGTGGTTGTATGTATCCAGTTAGTGCTAGAACATCTATCAAAACCTCAACAACAATCACTTTTTTCTCGTATTATTCATTATCCATGTTGCTATTTGTTTATTAATCAATGTAATGTGTGTAAAATAATTTATAGAACACGTCAAATAAGAAAACAAACCATACATAATCCATTTCAGATATTTTTTATTCATGAATTTTATGCAAGATTACAATCAAAAAAGTATATGCAAAAAACACTAATACAGACAACAGTAGATAATGGTGATTCTCTTGTACTAGATACTGATGAATTGTAAGACTAGGAAAGAATCCAGTTTTTACTTGTTCTTTAGTAAATGTGTTGTTTTTTTATTGATTTGTGTGAATTCAATGACAATGATATCGAATTCGTATAAACAAACTGATTTCAAAACGTGAATAAATCGATTTAAAATAGCGTTTTTGATGTATTCGACGATACTTTGACAAACAACTGAAAGATATCAGTATTCACATTCTACCTGAACCACTGTTTTAGTCTAAATAGTTAGAAAATATAACTCCATATCGATTATCGACAATCCCGTAAGTTAAATATAACACGAATTACGTTCGTATATACACCATGTTATAAAATCACTACAGACAATATCTGACCAGATATATCAAAACAAAATCAAGATTTTTTTGCTCTCATTTTTCTCGGACTACTAGTGTATTACTAGTCGTTGTACAACAATTAAGAGTTGTAGTACGTCACATACTAATGCAAGTCTGATGAATAGTGTTTAAGTTTGAGACACGTTCTGTTTCTGTTCGTTTTAATTCTATTGTTTCATTATCGCAAAATCGACTTTTTATACGCTGAACAAAATCTGTCCAAATTTTTTTTCTGAATAGTTTATTGAATGAATGTACGGGCAGCAAAGTATCTCTTTATTCAAATCACTTTTCGCATTTTGACGAGAATAGTAGCGCGTTTAAAATGGCGCCATTTTTCGAAATGCGAAAAGTGATTTATTCAGAAAAAGAATTTGGACAGATTCTGTTCAGCGTATAAAAAGGGTCGATTTTGCGATAATGTTCATTCTAAGCAATGAAGTTTATTCACTTTCGTTATGTACGATCAACATCATCATATAATAATTTTTAACGAACGACTCTTCATACGAATCGTAACCATTACGTAGGATCATCATTGTGAAAAAATGAACGATCATCTGTGAAAAACATTTTTGATATATATATATAAGGCGCTGGAAATTCAAAATTGCAGTAAAATTTATTATTTGCGATATTTATACATAGTTACATAGAGCTGAATCAGAATATGTGTGTTTTAACATTCCGAAAAAGCTTTTTGAGGGTAAAAATCTCAAAAAACTAAAATTTTTAAAGCTTGAAAAACGGCCTGTTGTTACTAAATGAGCCCATATCTCTAACCTAGTGACTGTGGGAACTTTGAAAGCTTTTTATTCTTATTCTACGTGAAAAATTAAATCTAAAAGTGTAGTTTTGTGTCATTCAAATATTACATGACCCTGGAAAATTAGTTTTCGACTGATAGCAGAAAAGCCCTCGTCGTTACCTGCCAAATGTATCAACTATTGGGACATTAATATTAGAAGGAAGAGAGGTCGTCGACTAATTTTTGAATAAAATAATGTACATAGTAGCTTGTGTACAGAATGAGAAAGAAAAAAACATATAGTAGTTTGGAGAGAACTAACGCTCGTATAGTTGTTTTATTTGAACTAGAGAAAGAGAGAGAGAGAGAGGACGAAATAGCGAAAGAAAAGAAAAAATGGTTTGTGGTTTTGACATGTACAAAATGTGATCAGTTTCTCTTTTTTGTTTTTATGATGTTGGATGTACACTTTTTTAAATCTTAGATGAAGCCAGTATTTCATATCATTAGGCTCGCCACACTCGGCATGAAATCAGTTTTGGAAAATCTTGCTTCATTATTAAGAAAATTAACGTTTTCGAAACAGGTAGCAAAAAATGAAGAAATGCAGGTAATTTTTTTTTGTAGCTTTTACCGTCAAATTTCCATTTTTTTGCAAAACGAATATCGTGTTTGGGATCAGCATACAAAACTGAATTGATCGATGTGTGTTTCAGACCTTTGACCAGAATCAGCTCGATGAGCTCTATTCAACCATGTATACATATGCAAATAATAAGTTTTGGTGCAATTTTGAGTTTCCGGCGCCTTATATTACAACGAAAAGTAAAATCCAGGTGAACTTTAAACATATTGCATCATTAAACTCAAAATTTCGAACGTAGTAATCAAACGTTGAAGATTGCTTTAAGAAAACGTTCATACAAAGCATGCGAGAACTATATCAGTGCAAANAGTGCAAGTTTCACGCCACAGACAAAAGTGTATAGATGTAATAGGGAATTGTGTCACGGATATATGTTCCTGTTGCTATAATGAAAGAAGTTGTTATGATGTTGGTGAAGAAAAAAAATTTTAAGTTCCACTAGGAAAAATTACAATAAAAAGCTTAACATGATCTTCCAGTGGAATTTAAAATTTATCTGGATTTTATTTATCACTGCAATATATATATAAATCTTTGTTTGGCTAATATCTTCAGTTTGGTTTACGAGGGAACCGATTTGGCTGTCAAATCGTTTTTTCAATGATACCTAGTGGATTATAGGTTATCGACTATGCTGATTCCGAATATGACATAGCAGTTGCTTACAGGTCTCCAGAGATCCAGTTTTTGAAAAACCAGTTTAGATCTATGAAAGTTGGCATAGAAATAGGCCGATCTTTCTTCGGAGATAGATAGTCGAAAGTGTCCTCTCCAAAAACGAAACTAAGCGAATTCTTAGTCTTTTGTGGTTTAGGCGTGGCATCGATTTGCCTGAGAGTCTCAAGGTCGCTACATGTTGTAAGGCTGAAAACATCTTAAAATTTTAACCAGACTTTTCTCTCCAACTTAATATGTTCCGCGACACTCTACGGCAGTCAGTTTAGAAATTGTAGGCGGCTGTAATGACTTGAAAAAGTCCTATTTTGGGCTTTCGTAAATTTTATATAGTTCGACCAAAAAACGTCGCAGAGAGTTCGGGACATCTCATTTTGTAGAGGATTGTTTGCTCTATCATTCTACGTAGTTTGAAAAAATTTTATTCGCAAGTTCTAGATGCCGAAAAACTAGGG